CCCAAAGGCCTTTCCTCCAATCCCACCACATTGGGGGTTAGAATTTAACAAATGAATTTTGGGAGATGTAGACGTTCCGTCTATAGCACTTGGTTATGATCGTCTCTGGACTTCGTTTCCATTTATTAACGGGATCAGCAACGTCCACCTTGGAGAGTGGTGCAGAGCTTGGCGTTAGTAGGTGCTCACTGAACAGGAGCTGCCTTTGTCACTGAGCTGTGCTCTGATTCGATGTTGACCTCTCTCTCCTACTAGACTGTGGGCTCTCTGAAGACCCCAGTTCTATCTTTTCCTTGATTTCCTAGTGGAAAAGGCCCATAGTCCCTTATCTGAAATTCTGAAATGCAAGAAAACTGAAAGACCTTCCCCCTCCATAAGTTCGGTGCCAAGATGTAAGTTGCTGTGAAATCTGACCTGACCTGAGCTGCCGCAGGGCCCTAGTGCTCCCAGTTGCTGGCAACCAGTGTGTTTTACATTTATTTTTCCTTTTTTATTTTTATTTATTTTTTTATCCTCACCTGAGGACATTTTTGCATTTATCTTTAGATAGAGTGGGAGGGAGAGAAGGAGGAAGAGAGAGAGAGAAACATCGATGCAAAAGAGACACATCGACTGGTTGCCACCCACACGTCCCCAACCAGGGCCGGGGACAAACTGCACCTGAGGTACGTGCCCTTAGCAGGAACTGAACCTGGGACTCTCTGGACCACAGGCCAACACTCTAACCACTGAGCCAAACTGGCCAAGGCCATTTATTTTTCCTTTTATGACTTTGGGTTCAATTACACTACGAATGCATAAAAAAAGAGTTAAAGACACCCCGTTGCTTGCTGTGGGAGGGAAACATAAAAATGCTGTCCTTGTAAGTAGTGGAAAGTCAGCGAATCTGGGAACCACCGTGACATATGACTTAGGAAAGCAAAGGAGGGTCAGCAGTTGGAGATGACCAAGACCTGTGGAGACGTGGAAGACACTGCGTGGGGGAGGCGGGAGGAGACACGGACCAGGAGCAGACTGAGTGGAGTTGGCAGTGAAGACGCCAACAGACGCTAAGGACGGGTTGCTGGTTGTGGCACAGCTCAGGTACAGCAGGAAGGGCTGATCTTTAAAGGTGAGCATGAATATTCAGAAGGTTGGCTGTGCACATGTGAGAAGTGTTGTGCTGTAAAAGAATCTGAATGGATGTGGAGGGAAAACTTCTAGTTAGAAAACATCTGAAGATCATAGTGATGATTTGCTAAGATCAGGTCGGGGGAAAACCTTAGTCGGAACCGGTCTTTGGAGCTGTTGAGGCAGCTGGGCCCTAGGCTCCGTTTCCAGAAAGGCACCCGAATGATCCAGAAGGGTGTAGACAGGGTTTCAGGATGCAAAGCACAGGCTGAGTCAGGATCAAGCTGGCTGGGACAGGAAAAAGCCACAGGTGTGCATGGCATATGGCTTGTCCCTGTGCCCTATTATGCAAATGAACGTATGTTGGTAACTCGAGAGCTGTTTTTTGCTAATCCCTTCCGTGAATGCATGCAGGTAGCCCGAACTGGAAGAAAACGAACATTTCCTTATTTCCGCACAGCTGCTCCGCACAGCCCCCGCCTGAATGTCTTTTGAAAAGCACCGTAGCCCTCCCTGGTCCGCGGTTTTGCTTTCTGTGGCTTCAGTTACCCGTAGCTAGTAGTGATTGGAAACTATTAAATGGAAAATCCCAGCAATAAACAATTCATAAGTTTTAAATTATGTACCATTCTGAGTAGCATGACAAAATCTTGAGCCATCCAGCCCTGTCCTTCCCTGTCCTGCCATGTCCTGCCCTGTCCTGCCCTGTCCTGCCCGGGACGAGAATCGTTCCCTTTGTCCATTATCTCCAAGTGCAGCCCCTGGGCCTCCCCGAGACCCCTCAGATCACAGGCTGCTCCTTGGGCATGGTGGTCACGTAACAGCTTTCACTCCCACTGCCAGCCCCCTGGCTGCGGAAAAGGGGAGCCTGGTCTCTGATTTAGGAGGGGAAGCTGGGTCAGCTTGGGGATGGGGAGAGAGGGACTAGTAAGATGCGAGATTCTTCCCGAAGAGGAGGGGTTCGGAGCTTTGGGTCAGCCGAGATGGGACCTACAGGAGCACCGTGTTCCTTCCGTCCCCGGGCAGCATCAGTGCAGCAGAGAGGGACGAGCCCCCGCTGGCCAGTGTCAGTGCTGGTCCCCAGGATCGTGAGGGGCGAGCCCCCGCTGGCCAGCGTCAGTGCTGGTCCCCAAGATTGTGAGGGCCGAGCCCCCGCTGGCCAGTGTCAGTGCTGGTCCCCAGGATCGTGAGGGATGAGCCCCCGCTGGCCAGCGTCAGTGCTGGTCCCCAGGATCGTGAGGGACGAGCCCCCGCTGGCCAGCGTCAGTGCTGGTCCCCAGGATCGTGAGGGACGAGCCCCCGCTGGCCAGCGTCAGTGCTGGTCCCCAGGATCGTGAGGGACGAGCCCCCGCTGGCCAGCGTCAGTACTGGTCCCCAAGATTGTGAGGGCCGAGCCCCCGCTGGCCAGTGTCAGTGCTGGTCCCCAGGATCATGAGCTAATGAAAGGGCTGTTGTTTTGGGGTGGTTTGTTATGCAGCACTGATTGTGACAATAGTTAACTGACATGGATCTTTGCCAGGTGTGGCTTTTCAGAGGGAATTCAACACTAGTTCCACCGTGGTGATGACCGTCCTACCCAGTGACTGGTGTCCAGCTGACCCCTGCCCGCTAAGCAGCCATCTCTTAGGACTGTCGGGGAGGTGGTTCCACAGTGTGTGTCGCCCAGGCCCGAGCCGATGGTGGGCACACCAGGAAGTCCATGCAGCGGAGGTGGACCAGGCCCAGCACCGTGTGGGGACCCGCGGTTGACCAGGGAAGGACACTCGGGGTCATGGTACTTGAACTGAGAGGCAAGAGATGTGGAGTGGGGAGTGCACAGTCCAGGCAGAGGGGACAGGGACATCAGAGGCCGGAGGGGGAGAGCTTGTCGAGTGGACGGAGCAGGAGCAGCCGTGTGCTGCACCCAGGGACGCGGCGGAGGGCCGGGGGCAGCCCGCTGAGTGCGGACAGGCGTTCTCGCTGGTCGGGGGGCGCCACACCGAGATGGACTATCGGTCTAAAGTCAGTAGGTGCCACTGTGGACTTCGAACAAGCAGAGAATTGAGACCTGATTTATGTCTTTAGATGTCTCAAAAGTGACGTATGTCATATCGAAAGTGGAACGGATCATTGGCACCTGCTGATTTTAGAAAGACCTCTGGCCTCGCCCAGCTTGTATGTGCGTGTTCACAGCAGCATCACTCACAGTGGCCAAAGGTGGAGCGGACCCCAGGGCCATCACTGGGTGAAGGGATAAGCACACGGCGGCCCTTCCACACAGCGGGACTGCGTTCAGCCACAAAACGGAAGGGAACTCTGAGCCACGCTACGGCACAGGTGGACCTTGAAGACGTGAGACGGGGTGGAGGAGGCCGGACACAAAGGACCACGTGTTGCACGATGCCATTTCCATGAACTATCAGAGCAGGCGACCCAGAGGGACAGAAAGCCGGTTAGTGGACCCAGGGCTGGGGGAGGGAGGATGGGTAGTGGCTGCTGGTGAGGTTTCTTTTTGGGATGAGGGAAATGTTCTGGAATTTATAGTGGAGACAGATGTACAATTCTGTGACTACTTTTTAAAAAAAAATCTTTTTTCTTTATTGATGTTAGAGAGAGAAGAAGGGAGAGGGAGAGAGAGAGACAGAAACATTGATGAGAACATCGACTGGCTGCCTCCTGCATGCCCCTCACTGGGGATCGGGCCCACAACTTGGGCATGTGTCCTGACCGGGAATCGATCTGGCGACCTCCTGCGTGGGTCGATGCTCAACCACTGAGCCACAGCAGCCGGGCTGTAACTACTCTTAAGACCACTGAATTGTACACGTTAAAAGAGAGAAATTTATGGCATGTGGATTCTACCTTCATAAAATTGTTTTTTTTCTTTTTAAAATGTTTTTATTGATTTTTTTTTTTTTTTTTTAGAGAGAGAGGAGGGGAGAGAGAGAGAGAAACATCAATGTGAGAAAGAAACATTGATCGGCTGCCTCCTTCACACCCCCTACTGAGGATCGAGCCCGAAACCCGGGCATGTGCCCTGACTGGGAATCGAACCCGGACCTCTCAGTCAATGGGACAACACTCAGTCCACTGAGACACGGCCCGGGCAATAAAGCTGTTTTTAAAAAAAGGTAATGTAGGAGTGTTGGGAGTAAGGCAGCAGGGGGCGATGGGTTAGGGAGCTGGCCCTGGGAGGGTGATAAGGTCCCGACCAGGGTAGAGGCGGGGAGGTGGGGTGAACTAAATGGTTCAGGAAGCTTTTGGGGGATGAGGTGCCGGAGCTTGCTGATGGGTTGGACGTGGGGGCGAGAGTATGAAAGGAAGTGGTTCTGGGCCTGAGCAATAGGGCTCAGTGGTGGGGTGGGTGTCAGCCATTCTGTGTTGGGTTACTGTCTCTCACCCAGCGAGTGGTTCTGGGCCTGAGCGATAGGGCTCAGTGGTGGGGTGGGTGTCAGCCGTTCTGTGTTGGGTACTGTCTCTCACCCAGCGAGTGGTTCTGGGCCTGAGCGATAGGGCTCAGTGGTGGGGTGGGTGTCAGCCATTCTGTGTTGGGTTACTGTCTCTCACCCAGCGAGTGGTTCTGGGCCTGAGCGATAGGGCTCAGTGGTGGGGTGGGTGTCAGCCGTTCTGTGTTGGGTACCGTCTCTCACCCAGTGAGTGGTTCTGGGCCTGAGCGATAGGGCTCAGTGGTGGGGTGGGTGTCAGCCGTTCTGTGTTGGGTTACTGTCTCTCACCCAGCGAGTGGTTCTGGGCCTGAGCGATAGGGCTCAGTGGTGGGGTGGGTGTCAGCCGTTCTGTGTTGGGTACCGTCTCTCACCCAGTGAGTGGTTCTGGGCCTGAGCGATAGGGCTCAGTGGTGGGGTGGGTGTCAGCCGTTCTGTGTTGGGTTACCGTCTCTCACCCAGTGAGTGGTTCTGGGCCTGAGCGATAGGGCTCAGTGGTGGGGTGGGTGTCAGCCGTTCTGTGTTGGGTTACCGTCTCTCACCCAGTGAGTGAGTTCGCTGCAAGTCTGTGAGAACTGGACGCATGAATGCGTGGGGCCTTGTTCTTGTTTCTGGGCACCCCCTCACCCAGGCCTTACTCTTGGCTCTACCATGGGAAGACTTTGAGGCCTTGGACAAGAGAGTCAAGTGCTTAGGTGAGTGTCCCCCTTGGTCAAGTGGAGACAATATCTGTCTCCCTCTTAGGGTGCTGTCGGGAATGGATGCAACGAGCCCATGAAGTCCAGAGCACGGGCCTGGGTGTGTGAGAACGAGCCAGGGTGGGGGTCTGACTGTTGTAACAGTCAGGGAGATAATCGGAGATGCACAGCCAAACTGTAAATGAGAGGAGCTTTATTCACCTGCGGGCTGCGGGGGCATAATCTCCCAAATCGACAGCCCTGAACATTCTTTTTTTTTTATCCTCACCCGAGGACATTTTTCCTTTTTTTTTTTGGTCAGGTAGAGTGGGAGGGAGAGAGAGGAACAGAGAGAGAGAGAGAAACATCGATGTGAAAGGAACACATCGAGTGGCTGCCACCCGCACGACTGACCAGGGCCGGGGACAAACTGCAACCGAGGTACATGCCCTTAGCGGGAACCGAACCCAGGTCTCTCAGGACCACAGGCCGACGCTCTAACCGCTGAGCCAAACTGGCCAGGGCCTGAACATTCTTGCAGTCCGTTTATAAAGACCAAAACCACATCCTCTTGACGCTGCCTTGGTGTCATTAAGGGGGAAACTGATACAGATAGGGGGCATGAGGAACTGTTACAAAGGTCAGGGCAATCGCCCTGGCCGGTTTGGCTCAGCGGTTAGAGCGTCGGCCTGCGGTCCTGAGAGACCCGGGTTCGGTTCCCGCTAAGGGCGCGTACCTCGGTTGCAGTTTGTCCCCGGCCCTGGTCGGTTGTGCGGGTGGCAGCCACTCGATGTGTTCCTTTCACGTCGATGTTTCTCTCTCTCTCTCTGTTCCTTTCTCTCCCTCCCACTCTACCTGAACAAAAAATGGAAAAATGTCCTCGGGTGAGGATAAAATAAAAAAAAAAAAAAAACAACAACAAAAAAAAACAAAGGTCAGGGCAATCATTAATCACAGTATTTTTATGGTTTTTCTGGGTTTCCCAAGGCTACTACTAATCCCTTTATCTTTATGGTTCCGGTTCCCTAAGGCCATGGTGTTTAGATGAGTCAGGGTGTGTATGTGTATCCAATGCTGGTCAGAACGGAGTTATTAAATTAAGGAGTCTAGTTCATTACCAGCTGGGAGTTCTGAAAAAGTCAAGTCCTCCCCCTGGGCCTTGGTTTGTTGGTCTGTAAATGGACTGTACTCTCAGATTCCCGAGGTCCCTTCTCAAACCCTAATTCTGTGACTTTGTGACCTGGAACACACTGCCGTGGCCCGAGGAAAACCGCAGTCTCACTCCCCAGTGATGTTTCAGTGGGCAGGGCAGAGTCTGTCTCCCTGGTGGCCCCAAGGGGCAGCTGGTGCCCGGATGGGTCCTGCCCACCCCTCCCTGTCACACTCTGCTGAGGTAGTGACACGTGACCAGTTACCATGAGCTCTCGAGGGAGTCAGTTTACCCAGTCTCAACAAAAGGAGCCAAATTTGTGTTTTCTTACTTAAGCACGTGTAGTTGACCAGACATTGTTAAACCCGTAGGGAGCAGTTTGGGCTAGGCCCCCGGGTCACTCTGATGTCCAGCGGAGCTAACGCAGCAACACACACGGTTTCCCACACGCCCTCCGTCTTTATTCTTTGCGTTCTCACTTGAGCTCATGCTTTCTGGTGGCAGCACATCCTCACGTTTCAAACTTCCCACGTGAGAAGCCCCAGCTGGCTTTGTGTGGCCCTGTCCCAGCGTCCTGCCTGCAGGTCCTCAAGGTCCCTGTCTGCGTCCTACGAGCAGCCGCACGAGGATTTCCTCTTTGTGTACATGTTGGCATGCAGTACACATTGTTCTCCACCAGATTTTTGGTAATAACTTGGAGTTATTTCTGTATCACAACTCTAAAAGAGTCCACATTTTTAAAACTGTGGTAAAATATGCATGAAATAAAATTTACAACTGTAACCATTTTTAAATGTTTTTTTTTAGAGCAAGAGGAAGGGAGAAAGAGAGAGAAACATCAATGTGAGAAAGATACATCGATTGGCTGCCTCCTGCACACCCCCTACTGGGGATCGAGCCCATAACCCTGGCATGTGCCCTGACCAGGAATCGAACCAGGACCTCTCAGTCCACTGAGCCACACTGGCCAGGCCAATTTTAACCATTTTTAAGTGCACAGCATTAAGCGCATTCACACTGTTGTATACCCATCACGACCATCCATCTCTAGAACTTTTTCATCGCCCCAAAATGAAACTCTGTCCCCATTACACACGAAATCCTCCCCCAGCCCCTGACATACACCATCCTACTTTCTGTCTCTGTGAACGTGACTCCTCCAGGGATCCACGGTGAGTGGAATCCCAGGGGATGCGTCCTGTTGGCACTGGCTTATCTCACTCAGTGTGCTGTCCTCCAGGTCCCTCCACGTTGTGTATGCCTCAGATGTCCCTCCTTTCTGAAGCTCAGTGATGGCCCCTCATGGGCGCATCTTATTTACCTGTTCACCTGCGGACGGACGATGGGGCTGTTCCCACCTGTTGGCCGCGGTGAGCGGTGCGGCCGTGGACACGAGTGTGCCGTTTCCTCGCGGTTCAGAGCTCCGCAGAGCACTCCGCGCAGAAGCGAGGGTGCCTGCCCTCTTCACCGCCCCTTCAGCGAGTGTCTGGTTTTCCTGTCACAGACACAACTGCCCCAAGGAACCCCGGTGCCCAGGCGACTCCACACCGTGCAACTCTGTTTGTGGGGTACATTTCGACAGGTGGGTCTCTGCCTCAGTCAGAAGGTGCTCTGGTCATTTGGTAACCCTGTGTCTTCAGATCACTTCTGTTTGGCAGCTGTTAGCAGCTGGTACCGGACGAGCCACATCTTGCCGGCTATGGTGTGCGGGTGTGGGTGTTTGCCAGGCAATGGTCGTGGTGGTGCTCTGCAAATTTCAGACTGTTGCTGCCTTGGAGGTTGCATCTTTGACAAAACAGGCCAGATGACCTGGAAGCCAACGCTCCCTGCTTGCTGGGTGATGGACACTAGGGGGCGCGATTGCCCTGCTTTTGGGCAGAGGAGGAGCAGGCCAGTTCTCTCCACTTTTGCCACTGGGCAAATGCGTATTAGGACTTCTGGGTGGAGAAAATCTCGCTGTTTCTTGAAGAGAGGCGGCACAGGATTTGTTGTGTCGATTTTGGGCAGAGAGCAAGTATGGAAGACGGAAACTGACTTGGGGGATTCCTTGTCACGCCCAGGCCAGTGCCTGCTCTTTGCCCACTGCCTCTCCTGGGGCACCAAGTATCGGCCCCGTGGAGACAGGACCCAAAGGTTGTTACTTGTAGCTTCTTTTATTTATTTATTTTTTAAAATATTTTTTTCTTTATTGATTTCAGAGAGAGAGAGAGAGAAACATTGATCGGCCGCCTCCTGCATACCCCGCACTGGGGATCAGGCCCACAACCTGGGCATGTGCCCTGACCAGGAATTGAACCGGTGACCTCTTGGTGCAGGGTCGACGCTCCACCACTGAGCCACACTGGCTGGGCACTCATAGCGTCTTTTAAACAGATGATGGCACATTTCTTTATTGTCTAACCCAGTGGCCCTGGCCTGCAGTTCACGGTGGCCTGCTGCTGAGCACACATCACCTCCCAGGCCGCTGACTGGCCGGCCCGTTGCCCCCTAGCATCGTCGGGCAGTTTCTGGCTCCGGGTCAGGCCAGCTGTTCCGGGCGCAGAGACGAGTTCGAGCTCGGAACTACCTGGGGGGGCTGCCTGCTGGGACCGTAGCCTTCAGGGAGGCTGCGGGGCAGGTGCAGGTCCTCAGGTCCTTCCTCCCTGCCGGCAGTGGGGCTCAGTGACTGGGTTGTCACAGCCAGTGCAGGCCCCTTCCCCTCTCCCTGCCAACACAAGTGCAGGGCTGCCTTCCCGCCAGGTGTCCGGGGCTCCCAGGTTCCAGATGTTTGGAGGGGTCGGGGGGTGCCAGCAGGAGCGGGGCTGGTGCAGAGCTGGGTGGGGGCGAGTGGCAGAGACGGGGCTGCAGTGAGGCCGGTGGGGTCCTACGTGGCGGGGCTCCTGGGCTGTGCTTGGAGGGAGGCCTCCTCAGCCTGGCACCCCGCCCTCCCCAGGCAGCACCCCATCTCTCGCGTGGGTCCGGGCAATCAGTGCTTGGGCTTGCACCCCAGAAAGAGTAGGCTTCTCCACTTCCCCTTCCCAGGACTCCCCGACGGCCAGGTAAGCCGGAGCCCCCTGTTGGTCGTCAGGCAGGTTTGCGTGTGGTGATGACATCACCGCGGCTGTGCTTGCTCTCTCCCGCCCAGCGAGGGCACCTTGTCACCTCCTGCCTGCTTGGTGGCCAGCCCCGGTCCCCACTGCTCAGCCCGAGCCCCACAGGTGTGCTGTCCATCAGTGGTGCACGCAGCTGGCTCACCTCAGCTACAGTGTCCCCATGTACTCCCTGCAGCACCCCAGCTGCAGCTCCGCCTGGCCAGTTTTGGAAAGCTACCCCGATGCTTGGGCAGCACTGGGCCAGGCTCTGTGCTGTGCTGAGCCCTGGGCGGGGGGAGCGGGCTGACCATCTTTCTGCCTAACCTGTGTGGTGATGTGGGTGCTCTCTGCAAGGATGTGTGTCCCTGTGTCACAGGGAGGGTGAGCACGGGGAGGTGCAGGACCCGCGTGGAACCGGGACACGGGAACGGAAGGGACCGTCCAGCTGGTGGTCTAACCCTTGCTTCATGGACGAGGAACCGGAGACCCAGAAGTGGAGATGGGCTGGGCACAGACTCAGCTGTCCAAGCAGAGCCGTCGCCTCACCTGCTGGCCTCCCCGGCAGGGCAGCCACTCGGGGAGCACGGGAGTTGGTAATGCCGGAGGGGAGAGGTGGGGTGCGTGTGCTAGTGGCCTGGGTTAGATGGCTGTGGCTGGAGCCGGGTCCATGTCGCAAACCTTGTTCGCAGCAGCTCTGCCTTGCTTTCAGGCGACACGGTGACGGCGCTGCAGCCCCGGGCTCCGTCCGCAGCACAAAGTGGAAGACCCATCCCAGGGTGGCTCTGGCTCTCCTTCCC